GTTGTAGTATTTGACCTTAGATAAGTCGTGTAACTTTTCAACTTCCCAGGCATGTCTCTTAGACTTTAGCTGTAGAGCAAGTGCTGATTTGTAGTGGAAGAGAGAGAACTTGAGTTCCCTATACTGAAATTACAATTGTGGTACCTTTCTGCTCCCCATTCAAAAAGCTTCTCTGTTCATTCTGTTTGCATTTTAGCCCTCTATTCTACTTCACTTGGCATTCTCAACAATTCCTATGGATTTTGTGCTGATGATTCTCAGATCTACTTATCCTTCCTCAAACTCTGCTGACCTCTAATCTCATATCTCCAACTGTGTTTCAGACATCTCGGACTGGGTGTCCCATTGACATATTAAATTCAACAAGTCCAAAACAGAACTCATTATCTTTCCCTTCAAACCCTCCCTGCCTCCTGCTTCCCCTGTTACCATAGAGGGCAACACCATGCTCTCAGTTCCTCAGGCTTCCAATCTAGGATTCCTTACTCTCTCACCCCCAATATTCAATCTGCTGCCAAGCCCTGTTGATTTCACCTTTGCAGCATCTCTCAAATACAGCCCTCTTCTCACTACTGACACTGTTAGCGTTCTAGAGCAGGCCCTCACCACCTGGATTATTGTAATACCTTGCTGGTAGGTCTACCTGCCCTGACCCACCCACTCCAATCTATCCTCCATTCAGCTACCAGAGTGATTTTCCTAAAGAGCAGGTCTGACCATGTTACATCCCACACTCAGTAAACTCCATTGGCTCTCCATTGCCTCTAGGATCAAATACAAAATGCTCTGTTTGGCATCCAAAGCCCTTCATCGCCTAGCTCCCTTCTACCTTTCCAGGCTTTACACCTTACTCTCTGACACATATTTTTCAGTCTGGTGACACTGGCCTCATGGATGTTCGACGAACAAGACACTTCATGTCTCAGCTTCAACATCATCTTCTCTGGCTGTCCTCCATGTCTGGAATACTCTTCCTTTTCATCTCCACTTACTGGCCTCCTTGGATTCCTTCAAATCCCAACTAAAATCCGTTCTGCTACAGGAAGCCTTTCCCAATCTCTCTTAAATCTAGTGCCTTCTTTCTTTTAATTATGTCCTCTTTATCCTGTGTGTAGCTTTTTTGTGCTTATTTGTTTGCTTGTTGTACCCCCCATTAGATTGTGAGTACAGAGATTATCTTTTGCCTCTTTTACCTCCAGTGTTTACCAGAGTGTCTGGCACAACATCATAGGTGCTTAATAAATGTTTATTTACTGACCAACATGTTTCTTTTGTTCTTTACCTTTGTCTCAAAAAAGTATATATATGCTTATATATGTACATACATACATACACATATATATATATGTATATATATGGATTTTTTTTTTACCATAACCTCCATGTTTCCTAAAAGACTTGGGCTTCCTGCCCTGATATTTATAAAGACACTTTCAAGACAAAGAAAGCTTAAAATGGTGTGGTGTAGTGAAAAGAACATTGGATTTAAAATCTGATGACTAGAGTTTGAATTCTGGGTTTTGTTACTACTTGTATGACCTTGTATAAGTCACTTAAAATTTCTGGGTTTCATGTCTTTCATTTTTTACCTAAATCACTTATTAAAATCATTGAATTTTACTGTTATAAAGGTGGAAGAAAAAAAGAGTGTAGCATAGGAAAAGAATTTTTACCCGAGCTCAGTCTAGCAAAGGGTCACCCTACTGTTATTTGGCTAGCTTCAGCCTGAGGGGAAGACTCCCCCCCTTCTCCCCATGTTTAGACTGATTTAATGAGTCATACTGTTAGTAGGTCTGTAAATCAAAGACAGAAAAATTGTGTCTTGAATATAATGTACACAAACAAATACATCAGTCTTTCTATCATTTACCTTGTGTTAAGCAGTTTGGGATAATGTTAGTCTATATGGGACTTTCTATGTTTTTTTTTTTTTTAACATTTTCAGGAAACAGTGACATCTTTTGACCTTTTTTCAATGAGTTATATAGAAAAATATGAAATCTAATTGTATTGTAGAAATAATTTTCTAAAATGAAAGCAAACTATGAAAAGAAGCTGACTTACTAAAATAGTATTCAAATTAAGAAGCATTGAATAAGTCAGAGAAAATCTTATTTTAATTGTTTTAAATGGAGAGATACTTTCTTCTTAAAATTCTGTCTCTGGAACTCTCTCCCTCCTCACCTCTGCCTCCTGGCTTCCCTGGCTTCCTTCAAGTCCTGGTTAAAGTACCACCTTCTACAAGAAGCCTTTTCCAATCCTCCTTAATATTAGATCCTTTCCTCTGTTGATTATCTCTAATTTAAACTGTATGTATCTTGTTTGTACTGTGATAATTTTGATACTGTACTCAAATTAATCAGCATTTACTCAGTTCATTGTGATTTAATGAGAATCAGTGATTGTATTAGTGAATTAAACAAAATAGGATTAAGTTTAAGTTATGTATGTTAATGCTGTTAGGATAAGAGTTATGAATAATTAATTTACCATGTATTGATGATTAGATTACTTGTACTTGATTTATCAGCCAGATTCATGATGTAAAAGAATGTAATTAGTGCACTACCCCCTCCCCCAGCCTCTTTTCCCCTTTATGTGCTGTAATAAGATTCATTTGCTGGTGTAGTACCCCCTCACCTTTATTATGAATCACTACCATTCACTCCGTAGTGATCTTTTCATCAAAACCACGACTTTCTTGGACCTTAGGATACTATTGATCAAACACAAGGGTTTTAGAACTTGTGAAAAGACCTAAGATGTTGAAAGGGTCTTAGGACCTTTGGAAAACCCCAGCTGAGATGACCTAGAGTTGATGACCTGTGGAAGTTTTCATGATCTGTGAAAGGCTATTGACAAAGTGGTTATGATTAATGGACATTTCCCTTAGTCAATCATAAGATTTCCCCACTTCTGGAATTGAACAGTCATTGAATTGTAACATCTCTTTCTATTTTTGGTGCTCTCCCAAGTGTATAAAGGTAGTTGGCACCCAAGGGGAGGGGTCCCTAATCATAAGGAAGATCTTGGACCCAATTAATTAGGGACCCCTGGACTCCCTAATAAATTAATTAATCATGTTTGGAGTTCTTATTGATTTGTTATAGATTGGAATTTTCTCACCCATAGTACATAGTTTTTTGCATGTTGTCTCCCCACTAGACCAGAAGCTCCTTGAGAGTAGGGACTGTCTTTTGCCGTTTTTTGTATCCCCAGGACTTAGCACGGTGCCTGGCAGGTAGTGGTACTGAAGAAGTGCTTATTGACTAGACTGTAATAATGAAAATGCTAGCATATTAATCTGATCTTTTCATGGTATAACCAACAAAAATGGAGAATATTTTTACCTTAATTTTTGAAGATTCTTATAGAAGTTTAAGTCCAATGTTTTCTGAATATGAGATGGTTAATTATTGTTTTAAATTATTACTTTTTTATGAAAGGCAAATTTAGCTTAAAGTAGAATCTTAGATTTTTGATTTTTAAAAAGTATTAATTAATTTTTCTTAAGGATTAGAGTTTCATATATAATTACTTACAGTAGTTATCTTCCAAGGACCAGAGCTTTAAACCAAAATGATGCTTGATTAGAGATTTCAGAACCTCCCAGAGGGTGCCAAGTGCTTTCTCTCTATTAAGAATATCATCATCGTTGTTGTCATCTTAGCCATTGTCATCATCACCATTGCCAGTGCTATGGGAAGTAGAGAGAATACTGTGCTTAGAATAGAGCCGTCAAACTCATTGCCTGCAGCACTTGAGTAGGGCTCAAACAGGATTAAAATGTAATTGGAAAATGTTTAACAAAATAAATAAATATATAACACAACATAGATAATATTATTTTGTGGTTTTCTGAGTTGGTGTGCAGCCTTCAGGGGATCCATTTCCAGCTTCCACAAGCACTGTATACTCTTGGGCAAGTCCCTAGAACTTATATGCTAAGGCAGAGATGAATTGTGAGTACACGGGTGGAAAACATTGCCATACTAAGAATAGATCCTTTATGTATTTGCATATAGTGATAATAAATTGAGAGGCAGCATGGTATAGAGGACAGAGAGCTGACCTTAGAGCCTGGAATATCTGTGATTGCAAGTCCCTTTTTTTTTAATGTATCTTGGCTGTGTGAACCTAGGGCCCCACACAATTCCCTAGATGGTATTTCTTCACTTGGAGCTCCGAATATCCATGAAATCACAGATCTAGTAAAGGAAATAGTAAGAAGATGATGAAGAATTAGGTGAACTGGCGTGTTTAATCATTCAATTCTTCTTGTTGACTCATGGTTGAGTCATAAATCTGTTAGGTCTAAGGCAGGTGAATAAGTGTCAGATCTCAATTGTTGAAATTTGTTCTAGGGAGTTTATTCACTTAATTGTCATAGATTTGAATACGAAAGTTCTGTTTTGTACTGTATGTTGATATTATAATTATGAATATATGACTTAATCTTCAGATATTATTTTGTTGTTCAGTTAATTTCTGTTGTGTCCAACTCTTTGTGACCGCATTTGAGGTTTTCTTGGCAAAGATACTGGATACTGGAGTGGTTTGCCATTTCCTTTTTCTTTTTTTAATTTAATTTTTTTTTTTTTAGGCAATTGGGGTTAAATGACTTGCCCAGGGTCATACAGCTAGTAAGTGTCAAGTGTTTGGTCTGAGGCTGGATTTGAACTCAGGTCCTCCTGACTTCAGGGCCAGTGCTCTATCCACTGCGCCATCTAGCTGCCCCTACCATTTCCTTCTCTCCCCATCATTTGACAGATGAGGAACTGGAAGCAAATAGGGTTAAGTTACTTGCCCAGGGTCACACAGCTAGCAAGTGTCTTAAGCTGAATTTGAACTCAGGTCTTCTTGACTCTAAGCCCTGTGCTCTATCCACCTGGCTGCCCCAGTTTTCAGATATACATATGCTATAGGTAAAGTTGTATCTCATAATGAAGTATGTATTTTGATGGTAGATTTCTTATCTTTTTTTATTAACTTTATTTCAGGGTGATGAAGAAACATTTGAAAATTATTATCGAAAACAGAGAAAGAAACAGGCAAGACTGGTATTGCAGCCCCAGCCAAGTATGGTAAATACATGAGGTTTTTGTATTTAGTTATGTTATCTTGAATACAAGTTTGCTTTTATGGCATTGGGACTTATTATAAACCTTCTTTTTTCCTTTTAAAGCATGAAACAGTTGATGGTTATAGAAGATATTTCACTCAAATTGTAGGGTATGTAATATGGAAATGTTGAATTTTATTATTTTGTTATTTTTGCATTAAATACCAGAAATTACCTGCTATATATTTTTAAATTAAAAAAGTGTTTTGTTGACAACTACTTTTTATTTAGGTTCTTTGTGGTGGAGGATCACATTTTGCATGTGACTCAAGGATTAGTAACCAGGGCATATACTGATGAACTTTGGAATATGGCACTTTCAAAGATAATTGCTGTTCTTAGAGCTCATTCAGTAAGTGAGAAGACTTTGTTATATTACTTTTTAATTTGATTTACTTAAAGAATTTGTAAGTGTACAAGATGGATAATATCAAAGAGAAAAGTTGTATCTCCACCATAGTGCATCTTAAAAAATTAATAATTGCTTTTGTATGGAAGGAAAGGATTGCTAAGGCTTTTGTTTTTCACTGTAGTATCTGGCTGTGATTTTAGCATAATTCTCTGTTGATTTGCAACTGACTAGGCCTTCCACGCATGCTCCTATTCTAGCCCCTTAGAATATGCAGAGTTAATCTGTTGTTATTATTGCAATCTGGTCTCATTAGTCTCAACTGACCTCTTCATTAAATCAGATTGAATAGTTCTGCTCTAAGAGCATCATGAGGAAATAGTTCCTAATTATCATTCCAAAATCTTTGTTTCCAAAATAAACTCCACCAGCAAAACCCATTAGACCTTCTTTCAGTGTTTGTAGAAATAACTTGTTTACAGTGTTATACTATAATCCCAATCTTGAAAATATATAAAATGGTGAAGTTTGGCCCTATCACAAAAATGTTTATTTCAAATGTCAGATTACCATTGTCTTCATAATTGAAGTAAAATTACTTTTTTTCTTTTGAAAAAAATTGAATATTACATAATATAAACAAAATCTAAGTTGTTAGTATGATATTTACTCAGTCTGCATTCTTGTGAACTTTACACAGGATTAGTAATCATTGTTTTGACCATTTCTTTATTATAAAATGACTCTCTGCATTTAAATTTGGTGCTTTTCAACTGTTTGCAAAGAACAGGCTGTATATATTTGGGGGAAAAAATACCTTTACAATGGAAATGTTAGATTTTGTAATTTTGTTATTTTAATATTCTTTAATGTTTTAAAAGAGGTTCTAGGTGAAAAGATTTTTGTATCTTTATATTGTAGTACAACTAAGATGGTTTTGAAGTTATGATTGAGTCTCCTTTTGTTTCAGAGACCCCAAATGTGAGATGTATATAAAAAAGTATTAGTTTTAAAAATTGTATTATTGAAGACATTCATGTCAAAAAAGTCAGCTCTAAAATGTAAAATTTAAATTGATGATTTAAAAATTTATTGTTTTTCTTTTACTGGTGAATTCTTACTGAAATGTTTAAACATTTTTAAAAAATGAAAACCAAAACTTGAATCCTTGTTTCAAGGGGAAAAATTAATGAATAAAAGATTGTATAAAACTTTCATATTATTCTAAATAATATTCATAATTCATGATATTCTAAATAATCATCTAAATATTCTAATTTAACCTTTTTCCTCTATGAAATACATGGTATTTTATTAGAAAATTATGAAATATGAGTTATTCTGAATTTTAATCCATGTGAGTTCTCCAGAGATTTCTTTTATATAATGCTGTATCTCGTAGTACTTACGTGTGTTTGAATGTCTTATCTTTTTGCGTTGAATTTTTTGCTTAGTGCACTGGTGATTATGGAACATATTTCCTTTTACCTAGCCAAAGTTTAAATTTATTGAAAGTATTATGATGCATTTTTAATGTATAAAAAAATCAGAACTTTGTATCTTAAATATTCCTTGACCAGTGGTGTTTGTTTTTAGTCTTATTGCACAGATCCTGATCTTGTTTTGGAACTGAAGAATCTCATTGTTGTATTCGCAGATACTTTGCAGGTAGGTGATGTCTTGACATGCAAGTTATTGACATATGTTAAAAAGTTAAAGATTCATTAATAAATATAGTTTATGTTTGCTTAACCTTTCTGTAGATGTCTTATGGCAGCTGTCTTTTGCTACTCTGCATAACAATGTAAATTTTGTTAAGGGAATACAAAATCATTTAAATATTTTATTTTGGCATTTCAAAAAAAATCTGAATTGCTTGATGGCCAAGCTTTGGTGATGATTAGGAGACACTGGAATAAGAAGACATGGGTTCAAATGTTGCTTCCAGTGCTTACTGTTTGTGTAACCTTGGGCAAGTCACTTAACCTCTTTGAGGCTAAGTTTCCTCATTTGTGAAAAAAAAAAAAAGTGACAAAGTTGAACTATAATGGCCTCAGAGTTCTTTCCAGCTCTATGTCTAGGAGGCTAAGTGCCTGGGTACTTAGCTAGGCTGTCCTCAGGCAGCAGTCAGTCGCTGTACCTATACTCAGAGCCTTTCAAAGTTTGTTGCTACCTGTCAGGACTTGTGCTGTGCTGGAGTTCACCTTCAAGAACACACGTTCACCTTTATATCGTAAGGTTTTGAAACAGGACTTTAGGGGATTTTAACATCAGTCTAAATAAAATAGAAATTAGTAAGGTAAATTTGCGGTAACAAAACTATAGCCTTTTTATAGTATTAGTGGAGAGAAAGCACGCAATAGTGCATTGGTCTTGGGGTCAGGACGTTCTTGGTTTAGCTCCTCCCTCTGATAGACTGTGGCCAGATTACTCCTCAGTGCCCCAGGCAGCTTTCTGAGACTCAAAGTATAGTGCCTGGCATAGATTAATTGTTATATAGCAAGAGAGTTGCTGATCTGTATTCATTGAGGAATTTTATTCACTATACTAGTAAAATCACAGGTGCCTCAGCTACTAATACCATTCTGTTTGTTTTGTCCTTATATTCTCATTGCCTAGTGGAGTGTCTTGTACATAGTTGGAATGTAATAAATATTTGTAGAATTAGATTGAATTGAAATTGATCACTTTATAAAATGTTTTTTAGGGTTATGGTTTTCCAGTCAATCGACTATTTGACCTGTTATTCGAAATAAGGGATCAATACAGTGAAACACTGCTGAAGAAGTGGGCTGGAGTGTTTCGGTTAGTCTAACTAAACTTAAGTACTTTAATGTGATTAGTAAGATTTATTTTAAATGCTTAATAATTTTCATTATTTAAAGAAAATTTGTTCATCTTCTAATTAATTTTAAATCCTAAATTTAATTTAACTCTGATTTTAAATTCTACTTCTATTTAGTGCATTTTGCCTAATGTTGAAGCATTATGGTATAGTGGAGAGAAAACTGGAATGAGAACTAACTCGTGTGTTTTAATCCTGACTCGGCTCCTTACTAGCCACATTAACCTGGGGAAATTTGGCTTCAGTTTCCTTAACCCTAATTGACTTCCTAACAATCTCCTTAAGTGATAGCCACAACCTGAGTTCTAAGCTCTCACCATTTCTCCCCTGGTGTACTGTAATAGTTTTCTAACTAGTGTCAGTGCTTCAGTCTCTCCCCATGCCAATCCATTCTCCATTCAGTGCCGTGGTAATTTTTCAAAAGTGTAGATCATGGCTGTGTCAACGCTGCTCAACGAGCTCCATTTGTTCTCAATTATATCTACACCTATACCCTTCTGTTTGGCATTTAAAACTCTTCATAAGAACTGAAAACCCACTTATTCTGTTTTTAACAGGGAAATTTTTGAAGAAGATAATTGTAGTCCCATTCCAGTAGCAAATGAAGAAGAATACAAAATAATCATTAGTAAGTTTCCTTTTCAAGATCCAGACCTTGAAAAGGTAAGAGCTAATTTCTATTACAAGAATTTCGTTAAAATAAATTCATGTGAACATACCATAAAAGTTTGAATGTAACTGAGAATAAAGGCTTCTGAATCCAGAGCGTTTATATTTATTGAGTTATATTTGAAAATTTATACAGAATAGAATCACCATTTTGATGGCAAACTCATGTATTATGAGTGCTTTGAAGGGAGGGCTTTGTGTTATATTTCTTTGTGTCCTTGACATTGCTATGCATAAAACGGGTAATTGATAAATAGTTTTGCTTTTGACCACTGCCTTCCTCAATCTGCCCTCCCTTCAATCAGGCCCCTCCCTTTTCTTTCCCTTTTCCCTTACTGCTTCTTCCTTCCCTTCTATCCCCTACTCCCTTTTCTTTTCCCCTTTCTCTTCCCACTGCCTATAGGGCAAGTTATATTTCTATACCTGAGTATGTTATTCCTTCCTTGAGCCAAATCCAATGAGAGTAAAGTTCAAACAATCCCCACTCCCTCCCTTCTTTCGCTCTACTGTAATATGTCTTTGTGCCTCTTCATGTGATGTAATTTACCCTTTTCTGCCCCCTCCTTTCCTCTTCTCCCATTATAATACCTTTCTACCACTTAATTAGGTTTTTAAATAGATATGTATTTTTAATAAATAATTAAATGAATGAATATCTCTACCCTTAATGTACATCACTACATGTTTGTTCTAGACAGATGACAATAAATGTCCACTGCAGAAACATATGCCAAAAAGAATGTATTATATTTATTGAAATAAGCTAGTTTTTAGTTATTTATTACTTTAGTCTCAATGATTTACCCATTTTAATTTAGTTAAATTATTAGCCTATTTATTAGACATCTTTCAGTGGCTGACACATAAGATATCCCCAAGGTAGCTACATGCTTTGTTCCTTGCAGTTGTATCAGCTGTTAAAGTGAACAATTTTGCAGTTCTTTTTTTATCTAAGTGTTTTGTTTGGCCTCATATCTTAGTTTAGAGAAAGAATCTGGGTTGGAGGATTCACAGGAAATTGTACTTGGGAAGCTGGTGTGCAACACAATAAGCAGACAAAAATGAAAGTGTGAACATACACACACACACACACACACACACTATCTAGCAGTACAGACAGATTCAGCCTCACAGGGCCAGTGTCACTCATGTGAAAGAGACTGCACGGTCTCAAGGTCTCATTGGGACAATGTGTGCAGAGAGAAGTAAGGTGGGTTTTGTTGGGACAGGCAATCGGTTCCAGATGTCAGAGGGAGCATTCTTAATCAGACAGGTGTATTGGAGAAATTCACCAATCTTGCTTATTAATACCAGACTAAGGTAGAAGATTTTCCTCACTGGGACCAGAGATTGGGTTAGGGTCTGAGTTGGTAATTAGGGAGTCCAGGAGAGACTGTCAGCACATAGACATTGCAGTCAGTTTAGGAGCCTCGCCTAATCAGGAACTGAGATTGTTTATATTTGGCACAGGATCAGAATGAGTCAGGGCAGTGGAAAAGTACAGGCTCTCTTTTATTGCTTGTATGTTTATGGTCATTAGGACCACTTAGCCTAAATGACTCTATATTGGAACTCTGTCACTTATAACTAATACATCACATGATACATTTCAAAAACCACGGTTATATTGGAAATTGAAGGGATGCCTATAAATTAGGGAGTGGATAAGTAAGTTGTGGTATATGATTGTGATGGAATATTATTGTTCGATAAGAAATGACAAGCAGGATGATTTCAGAGAAACCTGGAAAGACTTATATGAACTGATGCAAAGTGAAGTGAGCAGAACCAGAACATTGTTTACACTAACAGCAGTATTGTATAATGAAGAACTGTGAATAATTTAGCTATTCTCAACAATACAGTAATCCAAGACAATCTCAAAGGACTCATGATGAAACACACTATCCACCTCCAAAGAAAGAACTGATATTGTTGAATATTTTTTCACTTTCTTTCTTTCATTCTTTTTCTTTTATTTGAGTCTTCTTATGCAAAATGACTAATATGGAGATGTTTTACATGATTACATATGTATAACCTATATCTGATTGCTTACTGTGTTATAAATTGTTATAACATGTAATTGGAGAAAAAAAAATATATATATATAAAAATCACAATTATCATAGTATACATTAATTCACTTCTCTCAGTGTTTCTTAGTAAGTCATGAGGAAGTTAAAAACGTATCCATAATGCTGTCTCCCTACATTTGTTTGATGGTGACAACTAAAACTTTAATAAAATATCTTTCTTTGCTTCCTTGTACCCCTCTCTCTTGTAAACAGAATTTAATTCCTAAGTATATGTAGAAGCTACTTATTATCTCCATGACGGCCACTATTCCTTTAAACCTCTTTCAAAATATGTCATCCTTTACTGAGGTTTTTGTTTAAAGAAAGATGTATGTTTTTTTTTTTTTACTCTGAGACACATTTTTTTTTTTTGAAAAAATTTTTTTTTATTTTTAACATGTGTTTTTAAAACTTTGGGTTGCAAATTTTCTCCCTTCTTCCCTCCCCACCCACTCTCGTTGAAAAGGCAAGCATCTCGATACAGGTTATAGATGTGCAGTCATGCAAAACACTTCCATAGTAGTCATGTTGTGAAAAACTAAGTATATTTCCCTTCATCCTATCTTACCCCTCATTTATTCTATTCTCTCTTTTGACCCTGTCCCTCCTCAGAAGGGTTTGCTTTTGATTATCCCTTCCCCCAATCTGCACTCCCTCTGTCAACCCCCTGCTCCCTTGTCTCCTTCCCCCCTTATTTTCCTGTAGGGTAAGATAGATTTCCATACCCTGTTGTGTATGTTATTCCCTCCTTAAGCCAAATCCTGTGAGAATAAGATTCACTCATTCCCTGTGACCTTCCCTCTTTTCCCCTCCACTGTAAAAGACTTTTCTTGTCTGTTTCATGTGAGATAATTTACCCCATTCTACTTCTCCCTTTCTCCTTCTCCCAGTATAATCCTCTCTCACCCCTTAATTTTATTTTCCAGATATCACCCCTTCATCTTCAACTCACCCTGTGCCCTCTATCTATCTATCTGTCTATCTATCTATCTATCTATCTATCTATCTATCTATCTATCTATCTATCTATCTATCTATGCATATGTATAATTTTTTTCCCTCCCACTACCCTAATACTGACAAAGGACTCATGAGTTACAAATATCATCTTTCCCTGCAGGAATGTAAACAGTTCAACCTTAATAAGTCTCTTATGATTTCTCTTTCCTGTTTACCTCTTCCATGTTTCACTTGAGTCTTGTATTTGAAAGTCAGATTTTATATTCAGCTCTGGTCTTTTCCTCAGGAATGCTTGAAAGTCCCCTATTTCATTGAATGACAATTTTTTACCCTGAAGGATTATACTCAGTTTTGCTGGGTAGATGATTCTTGGTTGCAGTCCTATTTCCTTTGCCCTCCGAAATATCATACTCCATGGCGTCCGGTCCCTTAATGTAGAAGCCGCTAAATCTTGTGTTATCCTGATTGTGTTTCCACAATACTTGAATTGTTTCTTTCTGGCTGCCTGCAATATTTTCTCCTTGACCTGGGAATTCTGGAATTTGGCTACAGTATTCCTAGGAGTTTTCCTTTGGGGATCTCTTTTGGGAGGTGATTGGTGGATTCTTTCAATTTCTATTTTGCCCTCTAGTTCTAAAATATCAGGGCAGTTTTCCTTGATAATTTCTTGAAAGATGATGTCTAGGCTCTTTTTTTGATCATGGCTTTCAGGTAGTTCAATAATTTTTAAGTTCTCTCTCCTGGATCTATTTTCCAGGTCAGTTGTTTTTCCAATGAGATATTTCATATTGTTTTCTAATTTTTTATTCTTTTGGATTAGTGTTACAGTGCCTTGATTTCTCAAATTGTCACTAGCTTCCAATTGCTCCATTCTAATTTTTAAGGAAATATTTTCTTCAGTAAGCTTTTGGACTTCCTTTTCCATTTGGCCAGTTTTGCTTTTTAGGGCATTCTTCTCCTCATTGGCTTTTTGGATCTCTTTTGCCATTTGGGTTAGGATATTTTTTAAGGTGTTATTTTCTTCAGTATTTTTTTGGGTCTCCTTTAGCATCACTCTCAGTTTTTCCTCTACTTCTCTTACTTGCTTCTCAAAATCCTTTTTGAGCTCTTCCATGGCCTGGGACCAATTCATATTTTTCTTGGAGGCTTTGGATGTAGGAGCTTTGGTTTCATTGTCTTCTTCTGGTTGTGTGCTTTGATCTTCTTTGTCACCAAAGTAAGATAATATAGTCTGACTCTTTTTGTGCTGCTTGCTCATGATCCTGGCCAATTACTTGAGTTATAAACTCTTTGTTAAGGTAGAAATCTGTTTCCAGTGTGGAGAATGTACTGTCCCAAGCTTCAGGGGTTTTGTGCAGCTGTTTTCAGAGATACTTCTAGGGATCTGTAAATTTTTAGTTCTTCCAAGGTGCTATGATCAAGGGTGAGGTGTTTATTCCTTTCCTGGCCTGTGCTCTGGTCTATGAGTGATCACAAGCATTGTTTTCTGTTTTGGAACTGTGAGGAGAATTTCCTCTCCACAGCCACTGCAAGCTCCACTATGCCAGCGCTCCTCTTTGCCCCAGGACGGCCACCCAGAACTGTGACCCAAATCCAAGCACAGGCAAAACAAGAGAATCCTGCACCAGCAGAGATATCCCTGCAGTCCCCCTCTGATCAGCTACCCTATTCTCTCTCAGTCTGTGGACTGGAAGCTCAGGAGGCAGCTGCCGCCCCAGGGCTGAGCTCAGGGACTGGGACTGGAACTCCACTGTGCTTCTCTCTCACCACCGCAGAAACAGACTTTTCCCACTGACCTTCTAAGTTGGAGGGGTTTGGGGGAGAACTCAAGCAAGTCACTGCTTTTACTCCACCATCTTGGCTCTGCCCCGACTATGACCAAGAGGTCATTCAATTTGGCAATTAAAAGATCATTGGTGACTTGAGAGAAGGCAATTTCAGTTGAATGATGAAGTCAGGAGAAAGTTTAGGGTGAGAGGAAAAGTAGAGTCACTGATTATAAATGACTTTCTCAAATTATTTCACCATCAAGATGACATTTAGGATGATGATGAGAGGGGTTGGATGGATCAAGTGAGGTATTTTTTAAATATGGGGAAAACATGGGCAGAAAGCCCATTAATGAGAATGAGGATGAAAAATGGGAAGATCTGCTGGAGATGTTAGAATGGAATCAAGGGTTCATGTAAAGGGGTTTGCCTTGGTAAGGAGGAGTGCTGTCTTGCTGTGTGAGACAGAGGTGAAGACAGAAATAGTGGGAGAAGACATCTAGATTTGAATTGAGGAAGGAAGAAGAAGGTGCTCTTGGCAAGTGGCCTTCAGTTTTTTTCAGTGAAATATGAGGCAAAGTTCTCACCTGACAGGGGCAAGGAGTGGGGGGAGAGGATCCCATAGGAGACTTGACAGGGAGTGAAAAGGAAGAATGAATTGGTTATAAAAGGTATAAAAGGATTGCCTTGCTGCAGTGAGAGCCCAGTTGAGATTATGTAACATAAAGTTGTAGTGAACTCAGTATAGTTCATGATTTTCCCTAACTCTGTTTAGCAGCTTGTGAATAGGAACAGAGGCAGCAGATGGTGAGAGCAATCCATGGGGCTTGACAAGGCATGATATGTGAAAGGACAAATTGTATAGTATCTGTTTACATATATAAATGTATACATAAAGATGCAAATATGTGTACATATAACACACTGTGAAATACTGTATAATTTTAATGGTAGTCCATTTTGGTGATGTTGTTTGTAATTATTTAAAATTATTATTGTGTCAGCCTTGATTTTTGAGGGAGATGAGCAGTAAAAGTACCTGAATATTTCTGAAATTTCAAGAATAGTATTAATTTTTGTTTTTTTCTTCCACAGCATTCTTTCCCAAAGAAATTCCCAATGTCTCAGTCAGTGCCTCATATTTATATTCAAGTTAAAGAATTTATTTATGCAAGCCTTAAATTTTCAGAGTCACTTCACCGGAGGTAAGTATTAATAATGAACAATAAATTAATGTTTATTATGGTTGTTTTACTGGAAGATTATGATTTTTTTACTATGTGTATATGTGTGTGTGTATATATATATATATATATATACACACACATACATATTTAACTTTATTGTATGTATTTTGTGACTTTATGTAATCTGTGACTTCATTGGTATGGGGAGCTCCTGATGAAGACCTTCCTCTACCAATGCAGGTCAGCACCTTCCCTGGGGTACTAAGAGGTTCAGTTATTTGCCTAGGGTGATGCACTTCCTAAGTGGTAAGACTGACTCTCTCTCCACCAGTACTTGCTGTGTCTCACTGTTTGATTTGGGTTCTTTAAGGGACTCTTACTTTGGTGGAGAGATTTGTTTAATTCAGTTACCTTTGGGGGCTGTATTTCTAGGAGTCTAGCCTTCTTGATAGGGTCTACTCATAGCAAACAAGCCTGATCAAGCAACTAGTGAAAATACTTGTGATAACTTATAGCACCTGTTGGTAGCTGTGGTTAGGTTGATTGTAAAGGTTGGCATTATCTTGTAATCATTACTCCATATATTTTTACAATAGTTTTAAAAAGTTTTTTTGATACTATTTAAAAAATATCACTGTTGTTTCTCAATATACTCCCCCAACCCAGATGATTCCTTTTTTATAACAATGAGGTGTAGTTAACCTAAATGAATGGACATATTTATAAAAATGCACGTTTATTGCTAGTTTTTATTTTCCTATGGCCTAATTTCCCCTGTATATTCCTCCCTTCCTCCCCTCCCCCCTCGAGAGCCTTCCCATATAACAATCTTTTTAAAAGAAAAAAGAATAATAAGCAAAACTGATGAGTTCATTGGACAAATCTGAAAATATCTGCAGTGCTCCACACCCATGGACGTATCATTTCTGCAAAGTAAGAGAGGAGGTTTCTTCTCCTATCTCTTTGTTGGGGCCTTGCCTGTTCTTTTAATATTGATGTACTCACTTTTGATTATTTTATAGTTCCTTCCATTTGCATCATTGTAGTTATTGTGCATGTTATTTCCTTCCTTACTTCACTTTGTATCAGTTCATGTAAGTCTTTCCATGTTTCTCTGAAGTAATCATATTATTTCTTGCAGTACAGTGATATTCCATTAATATTCTTGTACCACAGTTTGTTTAGCTATTACCCAGTTGATGGGCATCTACTTTGTTTTCACTTCTTTGCCACCACAAAGTGTTGTTATAAATATTTTGGGACTTTTTTTGGGGGGGGATATGCCTAGTAGTGGAATCTCTAAGTCAGAGTATGAACATTTTAGTCACTTCCTTTGCATAATTCTCAGATTGGTTTTCAGAATGGTTGGGCCATTTATATCTCTATTGACAGTTCACTGATGTGTCTATTTTCCCATAACCTCTCCATCATTGACTATTTTCATCTTTTATCTTCTTTGCCAATTTGATGGGCATGACACTAAAACTCAAATTTATTTAAATTTACACTTTTCTTATAGGCTGTTTGGGACTTTTTTCGTGTGGTTAATAGTTTGCATTTCTTCCTCTTGAAAGTTCATATATTTGAGTGGAGTTTTCAAAGTGCTCTTACATACATTATTTCATATGATCCTCACATCACTCTTACGAGATAGGTTGGTACGGCAGGTATTATCTTCATTTTACAGATGAAGAGATATGAACATAAGGACCTTAAATTCATAGATTGATTTAGTTATTCATCAAATGTTTATTAAGTACCCATTATGATTAACTGGGGAAGATACAAAGGTAAAGCATCTTATCTATCCTTAGGCACTTGTGAGTTAGAAGAAAGAAGATACATAAACAAGTAGCTAGAATATAAGAAGTATAAGAGAGACATAAACAAGGATTTTAATGAGAGAACACGGGAGGGTAAACTTTACACTGGGAGTAATCGGAGAAGACTTCTTTAGGGAGTTAGCATTTGAACCTGGCTTCATTCAAAGTATTAGTAGGATTTTGATAGTGTATGGGTAATAATAATAATGATAATAATAACTAGCATTTATGTAGAACCTACTATTTTCCAGGCTCTGTGTTAAGCACTTCACAAATATAATTTCATTTGATCCTTATAAGGACTCTGGGAGGTAGAGGCTATTATTATTTCTATTTTACAATTGGGAAAAGTGAGGTTAAGCGACTTGCCCAACGTTACACAGAAAGTTCTGTCCAAGGCTAGATTTGAACTCAGATCTTCCTAACTCTAGGCCTAGTGCTCTACCCATCGAGCCACCTAGATAACCTGCCAGCTAACGTTTTTAGGTACATAATATAAAATACCTATGATTACAAATGAAAGCAATTATATTGAAATAGTTATCAAAATATTTAACAAAGCCAAATTCACAGACCTCAGGTTAAAAACTTGCCATAAGGCTTTTCATGTGGAGAGAATGACGTAACAAAAGGCCTGAATGTTGGCTTGTGTGACATCCCTATTGGCTGAACCTTTCAATTTTTTCTACGCCTGTGAATTACAATATATTGAATCTTTGTTTCTCTTCATACCTGCAGTGTGCGAATTTTACCACTAGATGGTGCTTATGTGTCTTTACTTGTATTTAACACAACTTCAGTCTTCTCATTGGAGACATAAGGGATTTCAAAGGTTAATAGAATTAGAGCCCGAAGGGATCTCAGGGTTCACCCAGTCTTGTAAACCCCACATTTAGAGATGAGGAAATTGAATCCTTACCGATAGTAAGTAGCAAAGTTGGGATTCTCACACTGCACCATCACTTCTTAACAAATCATATTTTTGTTAATAACAACATTAGGGAAGCTATGTGGCATAGTGGATAGAGCATTGGACCTGGAGTCAGGAAGACCTGAGTTCAAATCCAACCCGAGACACTTACTAGCAGTGTGACCTTGGGCAAGTCACTTAACCCTGTTTGCCTCAGTTTCCTCATCTGTAAAATGAGTTAGAGAAGGAACTGGCAAACCACTCCAGTATCTTTGCCAAGAAATGCCCAGATGTGGTCATGAAGAGTCAGAAATGATTGAAACAACTGAATAACAAATTAATAACATTACAACTATTTTTTAGAACTTTTTGAAGAAGAAGCTAGCTTACAAAGTTTTCTGTCTAGACTTTCTTTAAACGCGATCTCTGAAATTCAGTCAGAAATATATAAATAACTTAAAATTTGAAACTTCTGCAATTTAAACTTTTTGAGTGTCCCTTTGTTTAGTTGTGTCTAGTTCTGTCTAGCTCTGTCTCCTGTTGCTACAGATCATCTGAATTTGCCTTGAAGTTAAACCCTTTTAACTAATTTGACTAATGGTTGTTTTTTCCCTTCTTCAAATTGGACTATTTTTTTCATCTAGTTGGGGCATAAGCACAGATTGTCCTTTAAGTTCTCCTCCCTCCTCCCAAAGGTAAATTATTTGTGCAACAAGCTCATGCCTTTGTTTTACTTTGACTCAAACTCATTTGTATACTTAAGGGAACTTTTGGACGAGAACTTGAACACAGATTCCTAAGTTCTAGAGCTGGAAAGAATCTTAAGAGGTCTCTAGTTCAACCTTTTCATTTTAGATATGAGGAACTGAGGTCCAGAGAGATTGTGATTTACCTATGCTCACAGAGATAATGAATAGCAAAGTCAGAATTTGAACCCAGGTCATTTGACTTCAGATCAGGTATGATTTGCCCTGTATTCTGATGTCTCCTGGGTTCCTAAAAACACTCAATCTAAGTATGGCAGTATCATTTTAGGTGTTCTTTTTATGAAAATGATAAGTTATTTTAAAACCTTGTTGTTGTTTTTTTAAGAGCCAATGGTAAATTACTTTCCAAGAAACCATTTATTCTTTCTTGTGATTAGTAGGAATGAAATGGTAAAATAACATAATAATATAATTTTCCCCACAAGGTATAGTAGGGGATCATGGGAGGGTGGGATTAATATAGGATAAAACAGCTAGAATAGTTAGAAAAGGCTTCATTCAGGAGAGTGTGACTTGACCTGGATCTTGAATGTCAAGTAATGTTTATATAGACATTCCCAAAGCTAGAGGGACAGCATAAACAAATGGACAGAGGATTATTTTCTAAAATAGTTTAAGTTTTACACATAAACAACTTTGGTCTCTATGGTGCCTCACCCATGTAGTGCAGTAGTAATTTCTCTCCAGAATATCTGGGTAGATCCTGCCTATTCCTGATAATTTTGAATTATGCTATATCATTATATGTCAATACTTCAGAGATCCATAATTTCATCTTTGCACTGATCATACTCCCTGTATGTTATAGTATTTATTTGTGAGGTGTCAGAGTCTTGTACCTTTGATTTCATCAGTATGGGGAACTTCTGGTATGGAAATCCCATCACTCATGCAAATCAGCAACTTTGAATTACAGTTTTAGATCACTGAGGCAAAATAAGTGACTTTCTCATGGAGTCACATAGCTATAATGAATCAGAGGTAGGATCTGAACCCAGATTTTCCTGACTTCAAGGCCAACTTTCTAGCCACCAATCCCTGCTTTCTCTAATTCCATAATAAATATATAGCAATAGCAAAAATAAAAACAAAAAAATCACCTAGTGGCTAAATCTCTGGTAATGAGTATTCCTAAACTGAGCAGGGCTGGTCCTCAAACAAAATCGCTCAAAGAGATGGCCTTTGAAGAGCGAGGGTCACTTCCATGCAGTGATAGAACATCAAAAAAGAATTGCAGTGGAGAATACATTTTGTATATGTTAGTATTTATTTGTGTTAGATGAATCTGATGTCAACTTACTAAAATTAGGTGGTATTGACTAAGTAATTAAAATATTTTTCTTCTTTCAAAAATTTAAAATTTTTTATTCTGAACTTGATGAACACACACAAAAATGAATATTTCCATATACAAAGAACAAAAAAGAGGATTGCATATGAAACTACAGATTCTCATTATATATAACTTGCTTTTTAAAAGAATATAATATATTCAGTGCATTGATTCCAAAACTGCCC